CTCCGTTGAGTCCACAGTATCTCACTATGCTTTTTTATTTTTTTTTGTTTTGTTTTAGGTACTTGGTAATGAGAACGATAATCTAATAAAATCGATCGATATCTAAAAACGAGCCTGAACGTAGCACGCGGTATACGTGTACCGAGAAGCCATCGTCGTAATGTGTTCATACATAGGTGTTGCGCGTGTTTACGTGTGTATTTGTCTTCGATCGTGGAAGATGTATCAAAAATGTATACCGACGAGAGAATCGAAGATTTATGCGAACGCGTTTACGTATGCGCGGCCACTACTCGCCATCCGGGTATGCGTACGTACGCGTGTGTTTGTGAAAGTGTAATCGACGGGCTCGTACACATCGTCGCGTGGTTTGTTCAGACTTCAAGAGTCGCGACGCTTCTACGCGTTGCGGATCACGCGATTCAACGAGGTGGCGATCCAGAGATGGTCGCAATTCTCGTCCGAATAAAAGTTTCGAATAAAAATTGGGTAACGAGTAAAGCATTACCTGTTCGATAAAAAGTACTGTATCCAAGGTACACAGTCGAGTAGTCTTTCGCGTTGAGTTCATAGAAATTTGTATGAATTTCAATCGTATAAATAATCGAAGAAATCGCTGCGTGGACGATTTATTCGTCATTCGTTGCTCAAATAGAATTCCGCCCATCTCTGTGGCACCCGAACCACCCAGTCTTTACGTACTTGCAAAAGGTAGATACGAAAATAGTGGGGAAGAGAATCGGGGGATGAAACGAAGATCGATAGGATCTGAACCGCGACTTCCATCAGAGTTGGGCAGTGATTTCTCTAACTTCGGGTTAATCGTAGTCGTAAACTGCATTCGCAATCGTAAACTATTTTTGTAATCTTCGATCGTAAATCAGGTATAATCTCTGAGAGTGGAGTGCGATTGTTCATTAATCGTTAACCGTGATTACTGATTATCGAGATTATTGTCAGCCCAACACCGATCCTCGATCAGTTTTCAGTTTTCACCTATCTAGCGCGCGTTTTTCTCGAGGTGCAAGAAGATGACCGCGACGCGCAGGCGTTTCTTCGTTTCCGGGGGCGAACGGGGTGAGGGAAGTGTCCTGGTGCACTCGGTATAAAACAGTTCGCTGCGAGCAGGGGCACTTTTGCACACGAAATAGTCGACCGAGTCCCAGCTGCTGAAAAAGTTATCCCCGAGAAAATCGCGAAAGTTTTTCACGAGTTTCCTTACTCGTGGTCTCTGTTCTCCGTTGCCTCGATGTTTCCCAAACTCAGTGGTCCTTAACCATTTTCTTTTTTTCGAGTCCATAACAACATAGATAGATCGTTTGTTTTCATATATTATGACTCGACGAAGGAACGAATTTACTTGAAAACGAGCACCAGTTATATTCTCTTATTCTAACAAGTTCGAATGTAGATGAATTCAATTAAAATTCAGTAAAATTCAATGGCTATTGTCCATGAGAACATTCAGACACTGGAGAGTAAAATATATGATAAATTCATACACCTTTCAGATTCTCTGTGAAATACTGTAAAAACATCGATCTGAAAATTTCTGTTCCTTTTTATTATTGCTCCACCAAAGAGACCCCGAAATATTTAACATTAATCGACATATTTAAAATATATTCCCCGACTGGGAGGCGCGTCTAAGGCAGGATCCGCCCGGAGAGTCTCATTCGCGAGTCCCTCGACGGATCTAGGACGGAACGCCATATAATTTCTATTGGTCCCACGAACTTCACTTTCATTTAGGCGGAAAACCAATAAACAAAATAAATAATCGATACATTCCTCCCTTCATCGAATCTATACTAAACATTCCAATCGATCTATTACCGAATTCCTCCTACAACGATTCTCCAGAATCGTACACCAGGCGTGTCTCTACCTAAATAACGCCTAAGATCCATCTTGGAAACGATGTCTCGAGCTCGATAAGGTTAAGAACCACTGATCCTATCCACCAACGCGCCTCGAACCACGCACGTGTGCACCTCGCGTTCTTCGACTCGTGGAGACAAAGACGCGTAGCGTCGTCTATCTCCGTCCTTTATTCGTATACTCGCGAGTGGATCGAGAACGGGGACCATCGGGCCCCTGGGAAGCGGAAGTCCCGTTCGCAGCGACTGCTCTTCACAATCGTATGGGGCCGAAAGGCAAGGGACGAAGGTCGACGGTGGACGAGAGAAAGGCGCGATAGCCGCGACGGGACGTCTCAACGTCGCTCGAGGACGACTTTGTGCGCTGCTACATGGGTCCCACCGCGTGCTGCTGGAACTGGTCGAGGTGCCTGGAGATCTCGCGGTGGAGTTGCTCGGGCACCACGCCGACGCTGCTGAAGAGGGACCTGAGCACGTTGAGCTCCTCGGTGAGCAGCTCGATCCTCTTTTTGAGCAGGTCGTTGTCCTTCACCAGAAGCTTCACCTTCTCCTCGGTTTCCCGCGATCGCACCTTCGCCTTCTCGCGGCTCTTCCTCACGGCGATGTTGTTCCTCTCGCGTCGTCTTCTGTACTCGTCGCTCGCCTTGTCGATGGCCTTGCTCTGTTTCCTGGCGGCTGCTGCGGCTGAGTTGGCGTGATGTTGATGAGCCATCACTGGCTTCATGGGACCACCACGGGGCGGTGGTTGGTGAACTGGCGCGCCAGGGTGGCCGCCAGGCACCGTGGAAGGCGTCAGAGTGGTGAAGGTTGGCGCACCGTTGGCGAACGGTCCATTGGTCACCGGGCTGTAACCTCCTGGTGGATACTGAGGGCAGTGGCGACGATAATCCGCCGGGTCGAGGGGCTCTTCTTTGATGCTGGGCGACTCGGAGCTCGAGCTGTTGCTGTCGCTGCAGCTGTTGCTCCCTTGATGGTAACTCGCACCGCTGTGCACCGGTTGAGGCATGTAGGCTAACGTGGTGCGTGGGTAACCTGGCGTTCTGACATGCTTGACGGCGCCGTTGTTCGCGCCTAGCATGTCCAACAGGCCGTCGTTGAAGTGACTGTCGTCGATTAAGTGTTGGAGATCCAACGAGATTTCAGGCGTGTTTAGGTCCGTGAGCTCGCCGGCCGCTGCGCAGTGTTCCGCGTACTGTTGGTGAAGGCTAGCCTTGCTCGCGGAGACCTTGCTCACCACCGCGCTGGTCTGCTGCTGGCTGTGATTGTGATTCACCTGCAACGCGGAGTTGTTGTTGTTCGCCGCGTTGGCGTTGTTGTTGTTGTTACTCGGATGATTGTTGTTGTTGTTGTTGGCGAGCACCTGAGCCTTCTTGAGATCGGCCGCCCCATGGGCCTGGGCCTGGTGGGCCGCTGAATCGTACATGACTGGCGACTCCATCGCTCACTCGCACATCACAGATACGCAATTGTCGGTCTATCCGCGATTTTCTTTTCTTTCACCAAGGGCTCTGACCACGAGTCCCCTCGAGCGTTCCTCGACACGGTGACACGTTGTCCCAGGGAAACGTCTAGCTGAGCGAAACGCGCAGCTGCAGGAAACTTCGCCGCGAGAAACGACCTCGAACGGCGTCGCGAGTCGGGAATTTTCCCTGCGCGCGGACGGAGCAGATAGATCTGACACTGGTCCAAGAGTAGCAAAACTCGACCCTCGGACTATTCCAATTTTCGAGGACGACGCGGTCCCGGTACGCGGCGTGTGTCGCTTTTCCGTCACACTTGGCTAAAAACCGCGAAGCTTCTCGATCGCGCGACTTGACACGTTTCGCGTAAACGCGCGCGATTGTTCACCACGCCTACGCGGGCTTTTTTTTCGTGCTCGACACACGGTCAACACCACAAGGGACGCCGACTAAAACAAGGCAAACGATACCACCCGCACGATAGCTGGCGCGCGACTGAACCGCTTCGCGGCATGTCGCAAGCTTTCAATGTGGCGCGCGTCGAGAGCAACTCCATGCCTCATTGCGCTTGCGCTCGCGCTTCCCTCTAACCGCTCTACCTCCCCCCCCCCTCCCCCTCCCCCTCCAGCCCCCTCGTTCCTCGCGGTGCGATCCGCGCTAAGAGTCGCGGTCTTCCCCCTCCTCCTCAACGGATCGAGCTCGCGCTCTCCGATTCTCTTTCGATTCACTCTTTCTATCTCACTCTCGCTCCTTTCTATCTCCTCCCTTCCCCTCTCTCCCTCTCCCTCTGCCTCGCTGTGCTCGCTCGCGGGCCCCGCGATCTCTCTTTGTCCGTCTTACGCGCTTGACACGCTGCCGTCCCGTCGCGGCATCGCGCGACAGGAAAACTTTTCCGGTGCTGCTCGCCTTTCTCGGTTCTATTTATAAGAACTTATACACGAGAACATCGGGTCCCTTTTAGAGCGATGAATTTTCCACCGGAAATCGACACTTTCCGCAGTTTAATTCTTTTTTTTTTTTTTTTGGACCACTTCCTCACGTTTAAGTGTTTTGTAAGTGACAGACACCTTTATGACGTGTTTGGATAACGGTGGACTGTTGAGAAGGTCTTTCAATAAATGCAATTATTTAGGGAACTATACCTTTTGATCTGTAAAGTTAAGAAGGTATTGTATAGTAGCGTAATCATTGACTCTCCAAATTAGAAGTTAGTGAAATCGTAAATGCCTCCATGGTCGAACTTAGGTCTGCGCGCTCTTCGATTATCCGAATGTAAATTGAACGAATCCCACCATAAACCTGAAATACCTGAAACGGTTCCGAAGGCAATTAAACCAAGTTATGAACCATTATACAGTGGGCATTTGGTGAAAAGGTGCCTCGCAGGCTTTGAACGAAATGACAACGAAAATCTGAACGTGACGATGAGCATACAAGTATTCAATACGTGAATTGCTCTTATAGACCCGAAAGAACCACTCGTACACTTTAATAATTTCTTTGTTTCGTCTGCTTACTCTTTGTGAAACGGTACCATGGAAAACACCTTAGACAGTGAATGCATCGCAAGCTTGAAACGTCTAAAATATTTATTACGACGAGTAACTCGAACTTTTCGTTTTAAATAGTCCCAATAATTACCCAATTAATCGCTATTCTAATGAGAATGCCCCTTAAGATACCGTTAATTGGATATCATTGTAGATCAGCCTGCAGGAGTGTCTTTCCATTAGCGACAGGACCACATTTGGTCGATTGCTTGGGTTTTACCGAACTTAGTCACCCGACAATCTTGACTTTCGTCTTCCTAAACCCAACAGGTTCATTAACTCGTTATATCTTTTTTACAGCGATTATACGTCGACGACTCGATTCGTTTCATAAGAAGGATAATCGACGATTATCTTGCAGTCGTCGTTGATCACTGGATCGGAACCGATTTCTCTGTAAGAGCGGGCACATTCGATTTGTCAGCGCGTATGCTGATATCTGTCCAATTGCTTGCGTGAGATTGCGCAATTAGCTGCAACAAAAATTAATCGGTAATGGGCGCGAGATCCTTTTGCACGGAATTGACCGTTTGGAAATGCTTCGTACTCTATATAGGGTGCTCTTGACATTTTGTGGTGGGATTATAAATTTATACACTTATTTGAAACAAAGAAAATTCAATTTTCACAATCTTTTCTTCTTTTCTATTTTTGGAACTTCCTAATTAACTATTCTCTCAATCGCGATATAAAGTTCGTATTTGATCCTTCGAGATAACTTAGAAAGTATACTATTATAACGAAAGAACTAAGAGCTTCATGTTTCATATTTCATAGAGTTTATAGTGGTCTTTTGTGAAAGGTAAAATTTGCAAATGAATTTAAGATGTTATCTCGATTACGCGAAATAATGAAACCCTTGTTCTATCTTCGCGCCTTATAACAAGACTTCTATGTATTTTAAACGGCGCGCTGACGTCGCTATACAATTTTGGATTGACATTTAAGAACGAAAAATTTCGAACGTTGGAAACGACGGCCGCGGCGACATCTCGCGCATGGAAACGAGTCCACTGGCAGTCGGTATGGCATTCGCGAACCGACTCTCGACGGAAAGATCCGAATTCGACCGAATTTCTTCGACGTGATATTAGCCACAACAAAAAAATCGTAACATTCGTGTAAAAACTTTTCGGTAGTGTATATATTTTTCGCGTTCCTTTTGTGATTCACCGTTAACTCTGAGGATTCACTGGACCGTTAGCCCCGGGTGAGTAACGATTTGCGTTAGGTTAATTTCCACGCGAGTTTCCTGCCAGCGCGAGTGCCTTTGACGGAACGTCCCCGTCGGATGTAAACGTATTGTTATGACAAAATGCGAATAAAACGTTTCTCGTGGGGTTTTCCGATTTTTGGATAAAACGAGGGTGCTTTGTGGCATGATATCTCTTTCTCTGTTTTCGTTTTCGATTCAATAAACGCCCACGGTACGCGTTGGATGCAAACTGTTGAATGTGTTTTGGGCTTAACCTAAACGAAATCTGGTACACCGAATTCCGCGCGACACAACAAAGCCGTGTGTTGTATTCATTCTGGAATAGCATTCTTCCTTCCTCGATTGACAAATGTAATTCTTTTTTTGGATATACAGCAAGTTCTTTGTTTGATTCACCGTGTGTACGCTTAGCTCTTCGTTTAACGTGTCCTTTGGTTTCTCGTCCTAGCTGCCCTTATGTTTATCGTGTTTATGTAATGTCCTGCTTCGTAGAAACTAGAAAGTTACGTTATCGACGGTAATCTTTTTCAGCTTACAAACTCAAGCAAAGATTATTGGGACATCAGGTGTCAATAATGGCAGATGAACAGCAACAATTTTTTCTTAAATGGAATGATTTCCAATCTAATATGGTATCGTCGTTTAAACATTTACGAGATGAAAAAAGTTTCACGGATGTGACGTTAGCTTGCGATGGTCAGACCTGTAAAGCACATAAGATGGTGTTGTCTGCCTGTAGTCCTTATTTTAAGTCTTTATTAGAGGTAGGTTATTGTAAGGATAAGTCAAACGCAAGTTCTTCAGAGCAAGATGGTTATACATTGGGTTTTTGTAGGAAAATCCGTCCAAACATCCCATTATTATTCTAAAAGATGTAGCGTACAGCCACCTCCAAGCTATTTTGGAATTCATGTATGCAGGAGAGGTTAATGTTTCGCAGGATCAATTGCCTGCGTTTCTTAAAACTGCCGACCGACTCAAAGTTAAGGGGTTAGCAGAAGCACCAGGTGCCATTAAGAGAGAGGGTTAAAAATTGCACTTATAGTTATGGTAAGGTATAGCATTTAGGTTTAAGGTAAGATTGCATCCACATGAAATTTTCATACGAGGAATTTCTACTACCCCTTCCAGGATTTTGGGAAGCGTGCGGACTGAAAAAAAGAGTGTAATAATGTAAAGTGATCGCGTAAAGACATATACCACACACTATAAGAACACACGCTATGCGTGCACAACTCAGTGTCCTCTGGTTCATGACTTGGATCAACACACGGCGACAATGTAAATTATGCCTTTTCTTAATCTCAGTTAATGTTAACGTTGTATTGAATGTATGTATACAAATATGGTAGAGATGAAATGTTGATGTTTGTCTTGAATCCATTGCGCCATAACGCGGTGGCGGCAATAACATTGATTATTTTTTTAAAACAAAGTGCTGCAAAAAAAAAACTAATAAGTGGGTCACGATAGTTTACAATACATGCTGACCGTGGCAGTTTTGTGGATCAAACGGAAATGTTAACAAACATCTTTACGACTACCTGTTTTTTAAAATGGATCTACCGACTCGCTATACTTTCATATCGGTGGTTTCATGGTAGATCTATTCGCAAGGTATCGAAATTTCTGGAATCCGTACCAAATGCTAGCCGAGCCAAATATTTTTTTATCGCTTCTCTTATCAATCGAGAATCGGACAATTTTATTTTGCAATCGTTTTCAGAGAACGAAATGAACAAGGGTTGTTATTTCGTGCTATTTACTTTTTATTCTTTTTCTATAAGGTTTTGCCGATACAGTCGGTCGAATAATACCGTCATTGTTTACTGACAGATTTATTGGTATCGATTCGCACGAAATTTGGATCGTATCGTGATTAGATCTGCAACACCCCCGGTAATCACTTTGAAGAATGTTAAATCAAGTTTACTGGAAGTTGTAACATGCGTGTCATGTGTTGCTCTCTTTTGTTGTCCACGTTGTTTTGGTAAATCGTGTCGTTTCTCTCTGTGGAGTGTTCGCAATCGGAACGGAAGAAAATGATTTCACACGTTTAAAATCTTCTCCGATACCGGTTACTTCTTCTAGTGATCATGATTTTTTACTTAACCAAATACTGCCAGTATTTGTACCGGCGTATTCACAATATTACCGATAGACCAAATTTATTTATGATAATAATATATTAAGGGTTGAATGTCTTAAATCGAGGGAAGGTTATTGTAATATAAGCAAAGCAAATTTTTGTAAAGTCGGAGCGCACAGTTCCTTTCCCCTCCCAAAGAATCAGGATAATCAGAGAGGTTTGCATACAAAACAAAATGTCAGGAAACATTATCGAGTCAAGAACATGCATTAACGCTCGATTTACGCAAGCCATCCTATTATTTATTATACACAAAAACTTGTCCAAAATCCTTTTTTTATATTCTCATTTTTCGAAAGTATCGACGTTTCGTGCGAGCTTGCAGACCATATTGTCTTTCCCTTCACTTTTCTTTCACTTTTTCGAGTAGAACGCAAATTTTCATTCTTTACTCTATTCACATTTTCTCGCGCAATGAATCGTTTTATTCTTCGATCGAAATCACTTTCAGCGCAACTCACGATTCCCGCGAATCTCGAATATTATTATTACGTCCGATGCGATGGATATGTTTTCTTCTACCATGTGTATCACGGTATCTGTACTCGTCAATTTAACGAGCACGAGTTGTTCTACGACACCGAACGTCAATTTACCGTTGCCGATTCCGTGTCCTAGACTTCGAGAACACCTTGGAAACAAATCAACGGTGAACAGGAATTTTTTTTTTTGTAGCGTAGCTTTTATTTAATTTTGCGTCGGATGTTCTTGTGAATAACATCGTGATTGTACGATTATTAGAAAGCAGCGAGTTTTAAATAAAAAAAAAAAAAAAAAAGAGAGAGAAAGAATCGCCCCTTGTCGTCGCAAGGTTTGAACGAGTCTAATAACAACCGTTGTTGCAACTAAGAATGACGAATGTACGAAATGGGACCAGCAGCAACTAAATCGTCATGGTAATTGGAATTGACTTTATCAATTTTCGTTAAGAGCCAGGTATAGCGAGTCAGAAATATTCTTTCTACCTCCACTGGTGATTTAAACTGTTAATATCCTTCTAGGACAAACAGGATCCTCGTAGATAAAAATCTACGCTGTATCGAGCTTTTTAAAAAATAATATTACGATACAACGAGAATAGGAATTTAAATAAAATGTGAACAAACGCTCACGTATTTATATTCATACGGTGAATACTGAACAGAATCAGCATTTTAATAGTCTATACTTTGTTGTGCCATGTTTTTTTGTTGTACTGAGTTGTTATTTTTCATAGAAGCTTATACGGTGTATATATACACGAGAATCCCACAACATTTTAGTATATAAGTTTGAAGTTAACAATAGAGGTAGCAGAAATATTTCCATCGACTCGCTCGGTACACACGTTTCTTTTTGTCCAGCGAAACACGTTTCCAACGCGTATCAATTTTTACTCGTTTACTTTTTTACGAGCAAAAACGTAAAGTTAAAAGTAGAGTCTTCACAGTCATCCGATAGCAAGTCATGCAGATATGAGAAAGAAAAAAAAAAAAAGGAAAAAATGAAAGAAATGACGATCCGTGTCTATTCTCAGTATTTAAGACAGCCTTTAACGTTAAGACGGTTGGGTTCAGTTCCTACAATGACACGTTTATCGGGCATTTGGTGGTTGATATGCGAATTGTACCGTGTGTATTTGCTGAACTGCAAAGTTGAGATATATACATTTTAGAGTAGAGTAAAAAAAGTGTTATACGAGTGATCGATTCGAGATAAGTTCGCAAACTTGTTGATAAGCCTTCCTCACACGTTCTCCCCTCCCATCTTCCCGTTTTGCGTGCGTTATTTTTTTTTTTTTTTTTTTATTCCCTTTTATCTGGACCGATCAGCGAGATCTATTGGTTTGCCGAAGTTGTTATCGACGAATCTCTCATTCCTTATTTTGTACGCGAAATTCTATAACGTCCTCCCCCTCCTCAACCCCTCTCCTTTTTTTTGAACGACAATATATCATTACTTTTTCTAATTATTATGACTCGATGATGATTACGATTACAATATGACGATGTTGAGATATGAAATAAATTGTGTAAATATATCATTTTCGTAAAACCGTTGCTTTTCCCTTGTAACCTGTGAGTTTCAGCTAGGGAGAAATAAAACACTCATGTTCGTTGGCGATGAGAATGTTTATTATACCGCAAATGTACAAATGTGCGTGTACATTTATTATATACATAGTTGAAGACTGTATTTAGCGTTGCATCTAGATACAGCAGTCGAGATAGACTTTCAGGTTTTGGATGAAATCCGTGCTGCCTCGAATGTATTTGCAACGGTTGAGTCGAGGGTACTATACTTCGTCGAGATACTCCCATTCAACCCTTGTGGTAGCTCCAGCGTAAAATTTCCGTTTCTCTAGTATACTTATTTGGTCTGTATGGCTAAAGAAGATCATTTGGTTAGAGGCAAGGTAATTTAATAGCATTTAGCTACTCTACAATGGATCCTAGGATCTTACTTGGCGTTGGATAGTCGAACACAGGGTATCTAGGCGCGAATGGGGTGTCTGCACCATGCACGAAGTCCGATTCATCGTGGTCCCTGATGTTCTCAGCCCCTGACATGCATTCCTCGTAGGATGGCGGCGCTGAATGAAAGCAAAAGGTGAACATTTTATCCTGAGAAAGACGTGCCATTAATTTGCTAACGTTTAAATTATTATTGTTTCAGGGCACGGCAAGCGAGCGAAATAGTGGCGCCAGAGAAGAACGTCTACCACCTCCGGTTTTCTTTAATCTTGTCTAATAATTTATGCAAATATAATTACTATCTCTAAATACACCTAATGACAGTTTTAAAATCCTTCCACAATAATTGCAACTTCTATTCTCGCATACCTGTTGGAAATTTGATTGCATCAGTTATTAATTACTTACGTATTTGCCAGTTGATGGACGAGCTGCCACCCTGGGTTGGCATAATGAAACCAAGGGGTTGTCGTGGTGCATTAAGCAAACCACTGCTCGATGGTCCAGCTACTGGATTAGGCGCTTCAGTTCCTTGTATATTTACTTCGCTATAGGGCGGGGCAGTGGGTGGACAGAATAATGGCACTGTTCCTATTAGGACTTGATAACTTCTGGTAATCTTGAAGTGCCTGTTTGGAACAGAAACGAAGATTTTAATATCGAGGAATAGCAAGTACGTACATCTTAAATATACGGTGACCCATTCATAATGTAGCGCTTCTAACTAATGTAGAAACGTATGTATAAAACATGCGGTGCAAGTTTATATTAGCATATAAACATCCTCTGAGCAATAAAGTATATATAAATTTACAATATTCTTTTTTCTTGGATTGTGAAATAAACTTGAATAGAAAGTGTGGTCTATTTTTTGTAGCAATATAGTGAAAGAATGACGTGACTCGTGGTCGAGAGAGTGACTTTCAAAGTTCAAAATGTTTGTTGCCACAAGCAGCGTGCCACTCGGATTGGTCATCGAGCAGATTACATTGTCAATTATCGGAATTCCCTTGTGATAAGTTACTTATCAGCATACGGCTTACTTACGCTCCGGAAATGTGGACGACGACTTTGAGATAGTAAATCAAGTCTATAATGCTGCAGTGCTCCAGGCTGGACGGTGGTACTGGCGGTATTCGCAGCTCCAGAAAAACTTGATCCACATTGGAAAATGGTCCTGAGTACTTGTTACTTTGCACGTCGGCAAATTCTTTCTTTGTTTTACCAGAAGACGCGTGGAATTTAAGTTCCTTAACAAAATGATTTGAATCGAATTAAAATATACGTTCATCCCCCTCCATTGGGGATCCCATTTTATTCGAATAATAAAATACGAATAACATCCACCGTGTAATTATTTATTCAAGCGAACGGTTAAACTCTTATTTGCTCAAATCCGTTGCAATACAAACTGTACTCACTCGTACTAATTTTGTGGTGAACCGCGTTACCTCGACGCTGTTCGAGGAGTTGGTGTAGTCAATCGTCGTGATTATCGACTGTCCTGGAACGTACCCAGCGGATGGAACTCTGATGTGTATGTTCAAGGAGCCCACATTGCCGCAACAGCATTGGTAAAAATTTTTCTGAGCCTCGTCATCGATTCCCAACTGCACATAGAAAACAATTCGTTAAGACTCAAGAAGTGGCGAGATTCGAGAAGTAAGAAGCGGTCCCTTACGCATCTCTCTCGGTACGAGTTCAAATTCAAATTCGAGACCACGGTGAACGCAGCTTTGCACTCGTGATCGAATCTCCATGGTCTGTCGATCACAGCTTTCACCGTGTACCTTATGTACCCATACTTGTGCTCGAAGCTGGATGGGATGCTGTTGGGCAGCTGGAATTGGAAGGGGTACTCGTGGTATCCCACGGGAATACGCACACGCGAATCGTCTGGAACATTGCAAAGGGATGTTAGCTAGAGTCTGTTAATTATCTTTATTGCTTGTTGATTTTACAGTACTCAATTTGAGAAAGTAGACTTTCTCAGACTTTTGGGGTTCTCGACTAACCCTATGTTCTAGATTCATGGATCTTGAATAATTCCACAAGTCAAACTCTTCAGAAGTCATCCTGAGTTCAATATTTATGTCTCTTATATTTTAATGCTACAGCAGTTCTAGTTCAGTAGTAGTCTACCGAGTGACTAGTACTCACCAGCAGGAGCGCTCAGTATGTTGAACTGGACGTTGAAGTAGTTCTGTGAGTTGGTATACGTTTGCTCGTTGACGCGATTGTTTTCATTCGTCCTTTCCGTCCATCGCACACGGGCTTCCCCCTTGGCAGAGAAATACAGTCCTACGATTCATCGAGTGGAAAATAAATTAGTAACCGTAAAATAAATCGCGCTTATCGCGCCACCGATAAGTATTCGATGCCCGATTTAATCTCAACACCTCGATCGTTTGACGTCTCTGCCACTCGAGCCCGTGATTAAGGCGTTGTTCTTTACTTTTAACGATATTTCGCGTTAATAAGTCTCGGAAACAAATTGCACAACTGGCTTCAGCTATCGGTGAAAAATCACTGTATCAGTCATGTTCTTTTTATTCAAGATAAGGTAAACAGTGTTTTGTATAGCTGCTATACAGGATGATTCATTGAAATATTATGGAAAAATTGCTTGAACACGAGGTGTATCAGATATAAGTGAAGAGAATTTTTATTTTCTAATTTTAACCTTTTCAAGTAACATAGCAGAATAGGAAGTCAATGATAGAATATAGAGTCAATTACAGTCTCTTAAACGTATCGAACGAATTCGAATCTTTGGTTTCAGGTTGGAGAGCAAGAAAATGCCAAGTAGAATGTATCAGTGTGTCAGCGTTACCTGCGCGCAAGATACTATTGGGTTTCCCGCGCGTAATGCTTGAAAATTCTATAGTAACTAATGATTATCCAAGTCGATATTCTCGTTTAATGAGTTTGTCTAATTAAAAGAAAACATTCGAGCCTCTACTTCACAACCAAGTACGAATCCTATTAATTTCTATCTACTTTCGTTCAGGATGGAGCAAGGATAAAACTGCGATAGCTTTTCAAGGTTTTGCGTCAACAAACTACGATTATATTCACTGACAACAACAAACGCTACCTCGTTCTATTTTCAATTACCATCACGTGCTTCTCAGATGAAACTCACCTCTGATGTTTTTTTCCTTTATAGTATCCACGACGATGGTCCCTGTAACTGCTTCACCAGCAATGTACGTGGCACCCGGTCTATCAAAAACCACGCGGAACGTGCTCAACGATGGCATCGTGTGCGTAACTGACGATCTCTTTTATCAAACGAGTCCAGTCTGCTCGATCTTCGAGGAGGGGAGAAGATGCAGAAGACAACTTGAGGTTGTCGAACGCGCGCTTTACGAACTGCATGCCTCTTTGTACTGTATTATACTGTAGACTCAGGTATTATCCCCACTGTGTCATTTGGAGTCTCATCTTCCCGATGATTCATTTGCTGGTCGATCGTAGATGAACGACAACGCACGAGGAGCTGATGGCTATTGATTACAGTTTCTGGAAATTGGTGATAGAATGTAGAGTGGCGTGGGAGCTTTAATAATAGATTGGTATCTTCTCGTCATGTGTCTATTGTCTATTGTGACTATTTTATCAGGTGGAACAATACCGTTGCAAAAAAACATGTTTTGCTTGGAGAAATACTGATAGCATGAATTTTATTAATAGTTTAATTAATTGCGTAATAGGAGTTCCAACGCTTCTTCTGTGAAACTATAATGTAGACTCGCGTAATTGATAAGCTTCCTGTATTTTCAGAGACTTGGTATATCAGTTACTGTCCAGATGGCGGAGGTGGTTTATTCTCGAACATGCTAGTCTCCGCAGAATCACCAGAGACTTCCACATTTTAATACTGTATACTACATTGTGTAGGAGTCTAACCGAAAAATAAGGCACGGGGATTCGAAGCCACGATCCTCGGATCCACAGTCGACCGCTTTACCTACGCGACCAATTCCGTACCCTACGTTTCGTGTTCTTATTTGACTCCTTATTGTTGGGTATGGGAGGCGCGGACACTACAATTGTATCATGTTCTCTTTACTAAATTATTTTTCCGTCAAGAAATGAGAAAAATAAGAATTGTGACTATAACTAAATTTATTGTTTTCGAATAAAGTCACGTCGAGTTTGACTTGATAGCCATAATGAACGTGTAATCAGTCTTCGTTACAGAAAAATGACAAATAACAAATGAAGCACCGAAAACAAGTAACGTGGAACTTTCGTAGATTTATGTAATTCTGATATTATCAATCATTAAACCTACGCATACACGAAGTATGACAGCATGTCTCCTGAAGATAAATGTTCGCTGTAACGCGAACAATTAAATATTTTTTCAAGTTCCACGTGCAGCACTGATCCTTGGATACTCGCCTCGTTGGTTAACAGGGATTTTATGAATAATACAGATTGTACCCATTTCTGTCGTGACATCAGTGGAAAAAACGCACGATCTGTGACGGACACTTGGAAAATAGGCCCAACACGACTTTAGAATGACCATGAGTTTATATATATTTTCATGTTTGTATACAGCGTAAAGAATAATCCGGAACTTTGGCTAATCGGGCATAATTACCGCGGTACCTTCATAACTATTTTCATAGGCATCTACACAAAAAGCGGGAAACGTTTTAATAATCTGCTCGACCTTGTGGCGACATTGTGGAAACGACAATTTATTCAGTTATACGAATTTGATTATCCCATTCCGAATAAATAAGTTCATGTCATGGAACAATTTGAAAGATTGGGTCAGGTGTGGAGGATTTAAATTAGGAGCATCTTGCTTTAATTTATTGTTCAATTTTTATTCAACAATTAACAAACCAAAAATTATTATTACATAATATTAAATTATGTAGATTAGAATCTTGGTTGTTTGTAGGAACCTGGCTCGCAGATTATCGGAACTCGTCCTCCACGAATTTCGAATCTCATTAGTGTTTTGACAAATGGCACGGTGGAACTAATCGATAAGTTCGTCGATTACAGAAGCGTTTCGTAGGTGGGTTAAACTGAATTTAAACAGATTGTTAAATATAGCTAAATACATTTTAAAATTTCATTGAAAACATAAGGATTAAATTGTATCAGTGTGTACACTCTAAGGGGGATTTTAATGTGAATCGGAGTTTCCCAATTTCCATCATTTTCGTGTAATTCGATCGAGTGATTCGCGGTATCGATGCGATGAGTCCTGCGCATGCGTCACGTGTTGCCCCTGCGAGGATTTGTGGGGATTTCTTAAATACGGCGCGCGACTTTGAGCGTCAGTCGATCATCGAGCGCCGAAAAGGACGAGTCGTGGTTATTGTGGCCGTGAAGGTTTTTTGTGCGCTTTCTTGTGAATAGGTACGAGTCTCGAATCCAACGGAAGTGAATTTCAATTAAACATCGGGTCTATCGCTCGATTCAAATATCTTATTCCATCTACAATATTTTCGACTCTCTGTCGAATCATTTTTGGTACAATTTAAATTTAAATGATAAAGAAAAGATCAAAATTAAACTCAACAGCAGACAGTGCACCAATAATTTTCTTTAACAAACTTTTCAATATAATTTGATTTAAGTGAGTTAAACGAAGAAGTGAAACGCAAATTGGCAGAATATTAAGTGAATTATAATAAATTATAAATTTATGAAAAATTATTTTGATAATCGTGATTAATTAAAGTCAAATATTAGTGATTGGTATTCAAGCATAAAATTCATTATCTATCATTAACATCTAGTGTTTCGATTGGTTTCTGAAATTGGACGAGACTTGTTCGTCGCACACTTTGTTTCATCTCTTCGGACTTGAATTTGTTCCAGTGTGTCAGCGAGCTCCGAGATGTTGTGCATGGGTTTGGCGTTAATTGCCCTGTTGCAATCACTGGTGCACGTGGTGTCTGCTCAAGGTACGTGTTTCAAATTGGGTTTTTACGAGCTGCATGCACTTCAGATTCCATTACGATCCCGTCACCTAGCCTTCGTGCACTTTTTAACAGGGAATAGCAGATCCTTGATAATTAGTCATGAAACGGTTACTCACCGGTCAGAGTTGGTCAAATTTTTATCCAAGCGATATTATTCAATTCATGACAAACGAAAATAAAATTCTATCCCAAGTTACAACAAGGAAGATCCCTTCTGAGGGATGAATTTTAAATGGATTTCCATTGCTTTAATTCAATTACGCACAAACCAAAGCAATTTTGATGTAAAATAATTATAAATAATATCAATTATGCCTACCTCTAGTACCAGTGGCAATACTCGACCAACGTGTTCGTGTTAGTCACTAAAACAACGAAATAGTGTTTTACGCGTTAATGGATTGCAAAGAATAATGTTTACTTGTTAGTGTCGCTTCCATGCTTCGCGTAAATCAATGCACATTAGAAGGGACACGATTATCGCGTCGATGAGTTTACACTGTGATGTAATGCCAATAAAAATCGCCAATACGGAGAACATTGACGCAAAGAAAGCTTTTAAGACGATGGAAATGTACATACATGCTTTGACTCGCGCCTTTTTAGAAAACAGAAGTCCGTCGTCGAATTCAGAAGTAATTTTCAATTCAAATTCAATAAAAGAACAAAATATTCTTAATATATTTAAGAAACCGTCAGAATGCTAGAACAACAAGTTCTTAACGCGTCGACCTCGAACTCGTGTTCCTCCAAATGAGTGTCCAGATCCCCCGAATTATAATTAACGAATCGACTCGAAATTTTAACAATATATTCTCAGATATTTTGTTCATCGTTCGATCGAGATTTGATTTCCTTTATATTTGGTTTCTTGGGGAAACTAATTTCCGGAAGAAAAACTTTAGTGGTTGTCGACTCGATTTGGGTGAAAATTACTTCGTGCGTAGCATTACGTAGAATTGTAGAAGGTTAATCGACCGCGTTTGTTGATCGTTTTTCATCCGCGGGGAATTCCTTCTCTTTGCCGGAATGTTGAGCAATCGGTGTTATACGATTTATCCGAACACGATCAAGGCCTGAACCTTCGAACCGAGAGAGCGAAGCATTCACACAATCTGACCAGCGGTGGAGGTCAAGTGAAGTCAGTGTTGCGTGTTTAATGATAATTTATCAATTTTTTCATTCGATTCTAACCATCTCTACGCAGTAGAAAAAGTTAGATTAATTAGAGCAACGTGTCACTTACGAATGAGTTTTACAAAAATTACATTTTACATCATTCTTTATCGACTAAAACTGCGAAGAAAACATAGTAACACGCAAGGGAAGCACCATTTCTCTTTTGGTTATTTACACAATCTTACATCATCTGAAAATCGATCATTTGTTATATTTAATAATACGACGGTCACAGATACAACCATAATTCACTGTCAATCAGATATGCTATATGTGTGAGCTAACTGTTAAAGCTGACTTTACGTCATCCACGAATAGAATGTTTCTTCATATACGTAAATTTATCGCGATTTCCTTTTCTGCGCAGATTAGAGGCGATTAAAAATGCTAGCTAACGATTCCGCTTCGATGCTTCGCGGATTCATGTTAACGATCCATATATTGCAATATTAAAGACTCAAGATAGTATCCATTGAACGTACCTATAATTTGCAAAGTGTTTTGCAAAGTGAATCATTCGACTTTCCATTGCATTTACATGGTTTTAAGATCAATTATTTTTTGTATTCATATCGTATGAATTCCAGTAGATTTTCTTGCTCGCGTGTGATCGTCAGGGACAAACGATCGATTAGCGCGCGTTACGTGTTGCGTTCCCTGAAATCTCACGAGCGTTCAAATAGCAGCTCTCGAATACTAATTTAGGATTCGATCCGTAAATCAACAATCTGGTCTGCAATTTACGCGTAAAATGACGTAACGTGGCCCCAGGTTACAGAAATATATTCATACGCGTATGTCCTCCGAGAAATGAGTTTCACGAAACAATTAAATCAAAGTTCAGCGTCTAGTTCATGATCAAACTTTGAGTAACGTTTTGTTCGAGAATTGTCATGCAATGTTTATCGAATGAACGTAGAATTTATTGAGCAGCAATACGAAAACTTGTTGTGCGATGTTTCTTGGAAATCAATTAGTCATTTACGCTTCGACGTATACGTTACCAACAATTTTACTAAACACCACAAGTAACCTTAACGTATAGTTGTCTTCCCATCGAACAATAATTTTTTTCTCGATGTTACATTTAGCTTCGGATTGTCTGGAAAAGAAAAAACAAAAAATTCATGTACCACCCCATAGGAAATAAAATAAAACCATAGCTTTGAGTCGTTCCCTAAGGAGAAATTAGTTTATTAATTTAATTTCATACAATTAAATTTAAATTCTGTATACGTTATTTGCTAACTGGAGATGCATGTGATCGAAAAGTTGCAGGCTACACTTGCACCACT